TGAAGAATTGGGGTTGGAAAGTTAAAAAAAAAAAAAATGGGGTTGGGGCTTGTCGAGGTTTTTGGATTATAAATTTATTGTTTAAACAACGAACACATTAGACTAACGAATGTAAGGTTGACTAAACAGGGCTGTTAAAAGATCGAACTGTTTCCACAAGAATGGGCACAATGTGAAATGTTCCACTTCAAACACTCCCTTCATGATCATATTTGCAATCATCCAAATCATTCTTAGCCAAATCCCAAATTTCCACAACCTCTCTTGGCTCTCCATTCTAGCGGCCGTAATGTCATTCTCTTATGCCTCCATCGGCGTCGGTCTCTCCATCTCCAAAGTCGCTGGTACAATTCATATCATTTGTAATAATAACAGTTTTCTAAGAGTGGGTCCTAATGGTTTTGAAGAACAAATAAAGGTGGTGGTGCGCACGCAAGAACGGCTTTGACAGGAGTGACGGTCGGAGTTGACGTTACAGGTTCTGAGAAAGTATGGAGAACGTTCCAAGCGATTGGAGACATCGCGTTTGCCTACGCCTACTCAACCGTTCTAATCGAGATACAGGCAAGTAGTCACCATAAATATCTTACCACAAGTTTGAACGCACGATCGCGGTTGACTTAATGATACTAAGAGATAGGGAGACAACAATAACTAATAAGATTGGGTCTAAATAAATTTAAATGTGTGCTGATTGATCACGAAGTAAACGCCAGTACACGAGCGACCAATTAAATAAGAGGACAAAAGAACTATACTTAACTCTTTGAAGTAAAAAATTATTAGTTAATATTAAAGATTATAGTGAATTAACTATATAAAAACTTGCTAGTATCTATCACTATTTTTATTTTATTTTGTCAAACATACGTATGTATATTAATCTTAAACCACGGTTACAAGACTAGAACTCGATGCCACTGAGCTCGAAGCTACTACATAATCAAAATACAATGCAAGATAACAAAAAGATAGGAGGTTATATTCAAAGGTAATAACCGGTAGCTCCTTAACAAAGGCTAGTTCTTTTGCCAGTAAAGGCGAACTAACAAAACTTTTAGCTCGTAATGCCTATAAAAGAGAAGATTGATCGAATTGTTCTCTCCGAAACGGAGGAAAGCGATCTCTCCAAAAAAGAGGAAATTAGTGAAGGTAATCTCTGCAATTAAGAGAAAAATGATGGAATTGATCTCTCCATAATGGAGGAATTTTGTTGAAGATGTGTCTCTGCACATGAAGAAACAAATTGATTTAACAGAGATAGACCCACTTCAGTTACTCTTACACGATTGAAAGCAAGCTTTGCTTTATGGGGCCTTGGTGGGCTGAAATAGTTTATAGAGCCCATTAACAAGGCAAAGTGTCTCCAACCCAAATTTGTTGCCCGACGAGAAGCTTTGGTCAGTGAAAGCAGAAGGTTGGGTGACCGGAAAACGCTGGAGAGAGACTCCGGTACTGTACGGATTCTCGGGTACCAAGAGAAGAGAAGACGACATTTTCAATAAGAATGGCGGCGGATCCATAGAGGAACACGCTGGTGGTGGACACAAGGGGGAGAGCGGTGGATCTGGCGGATCTGGGGACTCTGGTGGAAGGAGGGACTCCAAAGGTGCTAGATCGGTCTTGGACGAGTGAGTCACCCCATGGTTTGGTGGCTTCGACATAGCTGAGACCACATAGCCGAAAGTTAGCTTCATCGGAGACATAGAAACGGCGGTTGACGACAAGGTTGTTGAGATTTTTCTCCAAAGTCGGGAAGGTTCTTCACGTATCGTCAGATGTATTTTGTGAGAGATTCTCACCGGGAAGAGCGGAGACAACGACGAAAAAATTATGGACAGTTGCGAAGGTGGCTTCGGGAGAGTTGCTTGCTGGTGACGCCAGAGGTTAGTCAGAGTCGAAGGCCATTCTCAGTCGAAGAAGACCTCGACATGCGGCAGCTTCGAAAATTTTGTCTGGGAGAGAGTTAGGGCGAACTCTCCTTTTATTCTAATACAATTAACAACACTTTAAAACAAGATGTTTGTCCCACACAATGCATTAAATATCATTTATCTTTTAAAGCATTAAATAAATTATTAGAATAAGCATTGTGGGATACACTTATTTGAAAATACCAATAACAATTTTTTCAAAAATGATATAGTTTTAGTGGTATATTTGAAAAAAAAAAAAATCAAAAGAGTGACATTTTGGGTCAAAATTAAAAAATTTCTAGAATGTCACTAAAATTATACCACTTGTTCAAAATTTCATTTAGATTTAGTTTAACTATTTTGTATTATGATTTAGAAATTTTAAGAAATGCCACTTTTTAAGTGTCACTTTCAAAAATGCCACTTTTTAAGGGGTTTTAGGGGTCAAAATATTTTTTAGAGTTTATAATTTTAAGATTTAGGTTTTAAAAATCTATAATTAGTGGCATTTTTGTAAATGGATATCCCTAAGTGGCATTTTTGTAAATGTACACACTAAAAGTGGTATTTTTGCATTTCCCCATAAATTTTTTAGGGTTTAAAAACCTTTAATTAGCATCATTATGACAACGAACAATCCATGGTAGTACTTTTGAAAATTTTCCCATAAATATTTGATAAAACATACTATGGAAATTTTAAAAATTAATAACAATTACATTTTCTTTAAAAAACACTCTAAGTATTATGGTATTTTTGAAATTTCCTTTAATTTATTTCAATTATTGAAATTGGCATTTGTCAACCTTAACAGAAAAGTGTGACTTGATCGACAAAATAATGGATTGAGTTTAAAAGCATATTTCAATTAGCTGATTATCCAACCTAGGAGGAATATTTTACATATGAAACATGCTGAAAATGGTTTTTTGAATCATGAACCAAACCATACTTTTCAAAAATGCCATATTTTTGAAAATATTTCAAAAAAAGTCACTAAAATTATATTATTTATTCAAAAATTTTTTTTTTTTGGTCGGAATTTATCCAAAATATTATTTAGGTTTAGGTTAACTATTTTGTATTATTGTTTAATTTTTAGGTTCAGAATTTATTCGGGATCAAAACCTATTTTAGAGTTTAAAATTTTAGGGTTTCAAAAACCTTTAATTGATGAAGGTTTTAAAAAATCGACAAACCATAATAGCATTTTTAAAAATAGAGACACGAATGGTGACATTTTTGCAATTGTCTCATAAAAAAAAAACTA